TAATATGTAGCTAAAATATATTTTATACCACTTACCACTATAAAATTTGGTGGACACTTATCTATATCTTCAACAACGCTTATGGCAGTAATTGGCCTATCATCAGGTAGCACAGATGATAATTGATGAACCAACATTTTGTTGCAAGTAGTCTTTTTAGACATTGCTGCAACTCTGTTAGAAATACATATACACACACACAATTATTCTCAGCATTTCATGAGTGAATATTATCTAAAATTATTTAATCAGTAAGTATAGCATAAAAATGGTTGCTATTTGCTATCTTTTCACAGATAAGACATTTATCAATAAAAGTTAATAGATAATTAGAATGGACAGAACTTGTTGAAACATCAATTTGGTTTACAATTAGTACACTACAAAGATTAAGATGGAACACTAAATAACACTGACGTCAAATAAAATGACAATTAAATTCACGCACTTTGAATCATCAAACCACAAGGGTCACAGCATAGGCTTACCCCTACTTTATCTCGATGACCTATTTTTCGATCGATAAAAAAAAATTTATGGTACACTGAAAACCATTTGTTCAAAAATATCACCCTCCGTTTTATGAAGCGGACACCGCAACATAACGAGAATAATTTGTGCGAGGCAAATGATTTAACCCTATAAAGCTTAATGCGGTCAAGTTTCAAAATATTGGCGGCATAAAAAAAAAGTCAAATTCAACATTTCTTACTCGTTCTCAATATCCGTGTATTTGCAATTTGCTTACCTCAATAAATAACGCACGATGTAAATTTACGAGCTCCGCATATTTACTTCTTCGATTATCGTGCGTTTAATATGTCGAGCAATTAAATACGATGGAATAACACGTCAATTTTCGGTCGAGTCGCGTTCAACCCGTATTTTCCACGCCACGCAATCTTATTCTTTGAAAGACTCATTCGTAACAGAGTGAAGGTACTCTAATGCTTGTGAATAAACAGAGAGGAGGGAAAGAACTGCCGAGTGAGGAGAGAAAGAAGGCGGAGGGAGTATAAGAGAAAGAGAGAGAGAACTGTAATATGTATACAGAATGTGAGGAGCATAAATACAGGGTGTTCCACATATAGTGTTACAAATATTTTCTTTGAAACCTCCAGAAGTAACAATTCTTTTATATTTTAAAATATTTCATATTCCTTGCAATATTCGCATTTTCTCGGACTCGAAAAATTGCGATAGATTATATACAAGATTTCAGAATGATGTGACAATACGTTACAAACAAACATACAAAACGTTAAAATTGTACAGTAAAAATATTGTTTCGTTTCATTGACAATAAAAATTCAATAAATGTTGGTTTTAAGTGATAATATTTCTTTTTAACAGGATCGTTTACAAACTGATGAATTTAAATGACAACCTATTAAAGAGAAAAAAACTGATTACTGATTAATATATTACCACTGTCGCATGAATATGATCCAACCCCGATGCCACATATGCAGAAGTTCTTTGCAATCCTCAAAGTGTAAGAAAAGAACTTTGTTTTCGATAGCTTCAAAGAAAACCACTTGTATAACACTTCATATGAATCACTGTGTATATACATATGAATTATCAGTTGTTTCGTAAAATCAATTTAATATTGACATACTCCTGAACGATATTGGGCACAAAACCGATAAGATAAATGTTCTAAACTCGCAAACACCGCTACTCATGTGAATCTCTTTTCTTCTACTGTTGTTTCTTCGTTAAATGTCCAACTAAATTGATATCAATGACATCACTTGTACCACCACCACTAGCCATCACCATGACCACCACCGTAATGACTACCATCTTAACTGACTAGGGTAGTGTGTTCAATAAGCTAACCTCTGTTTCCGTTCCCGTCACACCGTAAAACTATACGGCGTTTTTCTTCGTCGATCCCGCACGATTCCCTTCGGCCGGATGTTCGCTTGATCGTACACGGTCGAACTGAGTTTCGTTGTGAGTTAGCCTAACGTTTTCCAAGCGATAAGAAAATGAACGAGGATCGTACGCCACCCCTTCATCAACATTCTTACTGCGAAACGTGTTTATAAATGACTTTTAACACAATTCAAGCGTACGGGTATCGTAACACTTTCCCCAGCCGTGGCCATGACACTAGAGTTTGATCCTGAGAGTGAAGAAACAGCATGGCGACTTGTTTATGTTTCAGCTACATTAATAAAAATCCATTTTTATTTCGAATCGTCTTTTTATAGTTCATCCGAGTTAAGGAAAGCGTTTACAAGCTTTTGACGTGAACACAATACCGTTTCAGAGAGCAGAAACGCAAAAATTGGTATAAAATAGACGCGTTACAATATTTTGTACTTCAGCTTTACCCTCTATCTTCCGCGTGTAAACCTAGACTAAATTGGTTCCAATTCTTGGAAAATGAATAATGCACGGAACGTGATTATATAGCAATAAAATACTATATATACTCAATTAAAAACAAATAAAAAATTATAACTAAATAACAGATAGAAAATTTCTTGTACTCTGAGATTCTAAAATTTTTACAGTATTTTAAACACATATTGTCTATTCGGAATTACTAATTACGATATGTTTAATAATAATAAATTAATTCATTGTAATTACATGTTATATGTATCTGAGGTACTACGTATATGTATATATGTATCTCAGGTGTAGTATATTCATAAGTAAGAATTAGTATATTTATAACAATTGTTAATAAAAACAAATGCGTTTAATTAATATATAATTAAATATTGTTACACGGTAATTCTTAGCATGTAATGTAAACAGAAGAGTCTAAGAAATCTGCTTAGTTTATAATAAAGAATTCACTCCACACACGGTTACTTGTTAAAAATCTTCGCCATGATAAACGCAACAAAATTTGCTGGGAACCACGTAATGATTGAATTAATAAGATAGCAAATGAAATGGGAAGAAATGTATAGTGATGTACCATCTACTACAAAATATTTAAGCTATTAACACAAACAATTAGTACATCACTCTCGACACAAGATGGTACTATTATACGTTTTAAATATTTCATTCGGAAATTCAAATACTTAATTATATTATAGATATACAGCAAATGCTATGACATATATGGTAACTTAAGAAATTACAATATTTAATTTTATATAATTAGAATCAACAAATATTTGTACTTTATATCAGCTATATACGTAATTCTTTGTGATAATTTAATTTCATCTTTTGAACGCTAAGAGGTGTTTCTATGATTATGGAAAGTTCTTTTTCTCAAAATTCTTTAAAATATAGTAATTACACAATTGTATAACATAAAATCAATACGTGAAATTATGAAAATTTACTATAAGTTAGAAATTAACAGAGTTATTTTGACTTACTGATTACAAAGAATTTTTTTGTTTTTCTTTTGTTTTCTTAATTCGTCAGTTTCGCTGATAGATGTCGCTATCATTCACTTTTTGGCGCCTAATGTCTTAATATATTAAATATTTGTTTATTACCAAATTTCTAATAAAGTTTCTTATTCAGTATCGTTATGACGAAATTTAACAAACAATTTATTATGGCCGGAATGAATTTATTATTACAAATTTGATCTTTTACATTTTATTTAGAATTTACATATTAAAGGGAACTGCACAGCGTTAATTATGAGTATAAATAACTATATTTCTATTAGCTGTAGTTTATCACCAGTTACATTGATCATTGTGAAATCTTTCTTTCAGAGATTCCAAAAAGAAATTGAATATATTGAAGCTGTTCTTTTAATAAACCCAACTTCACTTCGTAGATATCCCCGTAAAATATCGTACACCATGTATCACAATGTTTAAAGCCTTATTTAAACATGGATAAAAAAATATAATAGCAACCAATGACACTTTAGTAGTATGTAATTTAAACTTTTTACTTAGACTAGTAGAAAATAGCAAATAGATGGCTCTGTGGTATCGCCGTAGTCGATGCGTTTCTGCATATGGATGCTTTTATTCGAAGCAAAGTAGTGGATGGCGTTAGAGGTTGCATTGTCTGCATGATAAAATTTATTCCATGAAGAACGTTATTTTCCAATCCCATCAACATCCATTATCGCAGACTGCATTTACTCTTCTTTAGGTAACTACTTACATATAGTTAGCATATTAATACATATATTGACATATTACATCTATTGCGCGATAAAAAATTATAACATTTTTGTGTTATATTGTATTTATTATACGCATTTGATGTATAATAATATACGAACGTAGTACAAGATAATAATGGATGCAGTTTAGAACATTGAAAAATATATGAATCTGTTTACGAGAATTACAAATTAATTATATCAGTGACTGTTGTAGAATATTGTATATGTGTTTTCGTATTTTTGAGCATTACAAATAACACATGCATGTGATTTTGAATATTATAATGTATGTACCTCATTCTGAGTATTACAAAGTACATGGATATGGTTCTGCGTATTGCAAGATAATATGTGGATATGGTTCTGAACATTACTGCATAATATATTGATATAGTTCTGAATATTGCATAATAATATATGGGTATAGCTTTGAGCATTAAAAGGTAATAATATATGGATAAAATTTGAGTATTGCAGCATGATAGCTGAATAAATTTCTCAGTATTGCAGAATAATATATAGATATGGTATTGAGCATTGCCAAATAATATATGGAAATGGTTCTGAGTATTGCAGTATAATATAAGATAAAAATTTAAGTACTACAAACAAATAGATGGATATGATTTTGAATATTACAAAATAATATATAGATATGGTTCTGACTATAGCAGAATAATATATGAATACGATCGTTGCTGTTGGCTAATATTGTATGGATACGTTTTTAGATATTACAAAATGTATAGATATGTTTCTAACTATTTGAGATATTATATGAATATGATTCTAAATATTGCAAAATTATAGTATGGATATGATTCTGAATATTGCAAAATAATATGTGGATAAAACTTGAGTATTGCAGAGTAATACTTAAATAGATTTCTGAATGTTGCAAAAAAATATATGAATATGGCTCTGAATATTCCAAAATTATATATGGATATGGTTCTGAGTATTGCAAAATTATATATGGATATGGTTCTAAGTATTGCAAAATAATATATGGAAATGGTTCTGAGTATTGCGATATAATATAGGAATAAAATTTCAGTATTGCAGACAAATATATGGGTATGATTCTGAATATTACAAAAAAATATATAGATATAATTCTGAATATTGCAAAATAATATATGGATATGGTCCTAAGTATTGCAGTATCATATACGGATATAGTTCTGAATATTACAAAAAGATATATAGATATAATTCTGAATATTGCAAAATAATATATGGATATGGTTCTAAGCATTGCAAAATAATATATGGATATGGTTCTAAGCATTGCAAAATAATATATGGATATGGTTCTAAGTATTGCAAAATAATA